ATCATATAAAACACATAATTTCTTCAAACAATTTTATATTTTTTTTATACAGTTTATTAGTATCTTTTAATATGTGTTTCTTACATATTTTATAAAAACAGTATAAAATATGTAAGATCTTTAAGTTGTTCGAACAACTTATAATTTTTATAAAAATTTATAAAAATAATATCGTCGAACAACTTTATACTGTTTTATACTGTTTATTAGTATCTTTTTAATTTATTCGAGAACCTCCTCCACACATATTAGTTAAAGTCTTACATATTTTATACTGTTTTTGTTTTTCTTAGCCTACTACCTCTTGATTGATTAGTAATACATTATTTTGACAAAATATTTGAAATTAAACAACCAAAATATGTACACGTTAGGGCATACTTGTGTTCGCTCTTATCTATTAGTATTTTTTTGTTATTAATCAAACAGATTTAGAGTAATATATTTCAAAATTTTTGCATTTATTTTAAATATTTTGACGAAAATCATATACTACTAATGATAGTTCCTAAAATATTATCTTTCATTTTTTTTGTTATTGCAGAAAAAAAATTTGTTTAATTTATTTTTATTACATTATCTTAAACAATAAAGGGAATCTTGGCAAATGTACCACTTTCTGATGATTCCCTTTGAAATCTACCACAATTGGAAAAAGTTTTCTGTTTCTACCACTTTTTTTGCCATGTGATAATTTATGGACGAGTTTGCCCTTGATGGCGACAGACTGATGTGTCAGAAAAAAGGACAGCTGCATTAATTGCACTCGATCGGGGACAATTTTTGTTACATTCAGGGACAAATTTTATTACACTCGGGGACAATTTTTTCGGAACTCCGTTGACGAAGCTTCACCGCTCCAAATCCTGTGAGCTATGGGAATCATCATCATCATCATCATCTAGACCGATCAAAACTCATTCGATTCGAAGAGTTTATAGCGCAAATTTAGATCCATTCTCCGACGAAGAGTTTTAAAAAAAAATCCAAGAGCTAACTCTCAGATTCAATGTCCCAAACCAAAACGACGACGAGAATTCAGAGCCGATGATAATTCACGATTACAAAGCTAATTCAATCGAGCCACCATGGAATGAGATGGTTCATTTGTCGAGTATTGAAATGAAAGCAAACAATGTTGATCTTCCTCGTTCACTTACTCGGGGACGAAGACGAAGATCTGGATTGAAATGAAAGCAAACAGTGTTGATCTTCCTCGTTTACTTACTCGGGGACGAAGACGAAGATCTGGATATACTCGGGGACAACTTTGTTTCGAAAGGTCACATCATCTGCAGTTCCTTATTTCACCAGTTGGAGGGTAAAATGGTCATTTTACAAACACAATGTGGTATGAATGATAATTGAGATTCAAATGTGGTAGAAGTGATAACTTTTGGGCAAAATGTGGTACCCAATCTAATTTTCCCAACAATAAATCTTTTCAATATATTATGTTTTCTAACAAAAATCTTTTGTTTAGGTGGCACACCGTGATAAAATGTTGTTTATTTTTGTTCAAAAAACTTTAAGAAAACTTTAAGAACTTAGCTTTCCCTAGCTCTACCAACTTAGAAAACAAATTTGTAAGAATTTATAAATACATCATCAACGTTCTTGTCACATCTTATTTTATTTCTTATTACATTATCTTACACAATTAAAATATTTTCAATATGTTTTCTAACATTTAGTTGGCACAAATTGATAAGTTGTTCATTCTTTTGTTTGAAAAGCTTTAAGAACTTAGCTTTCCAGACCTCTCCCAACTTGGAAATCAAATTTATAAGATTTTTAAATACAACCATCGACATGCTTTTTCACATCTTTTTTCTTTTATTTTTACTACATTATCTTACACAATAAAAAAAATCAGATATGTTTTCTAATAAAAATATTTTGTTTATGTAAAACAAAGTGATAATATGTTCTTTCTTTTCTTCGAACAACTTTAAGAAATTAGATTTCCCCAGCTCTCCTAACTTGAAAAACAAATATGTAAGATCTTTAACTACAACCATTGACATGCTTATTTCACATCATAAAAAAAAAATCATTGTTATATATAGTTGTAACATGTTAGTTAAAATCAACAGATTTTATCACTATTAAGATAAGAAATATTATTTTTTGTTTGTTTCAATAAAGTATTATTATCATAAACCTAGACATTGCATATACAGTTTTACCAGTATTTTTTTTTCCTATTTTACCAATTAACTAACTCAATCATTTTTACTCATTTTTAAAACAATTCAAAAATTAGAGATTAAATTAATATAATATCCGAATATCAAACTTAAAACATAAAAATCAATCGATCTTTAAATGAAATGAAAAAATCGAATAGACGTAAACATGTTAGGTACCTCTTGATTAAATACTTTTTTTGAACTTTTCACCTATCTTTTGATTGATTAACCTATTCAAATTTAATGAGACTAATAGTAATTTTTAAATCTAAATATCCTAGCCATGTACAGTTTTCTTCATTTATTAGCCGATCCTTGTAGTCTCAGGCATTGTGAAACTGGAACATGTGAAGAGACTGGAGATCAAATTCTGTGTCAGAATGTTTAGAGAGCAACTGCACTTGAGTTTGAAAATTGGAAGGGATCTTGTCCGGTTGTTGCAGGACCTAGTTTACGTCTCTGAATTTGAAGACATATGGAACGATAAGGTCTCAAACCATTACTCTGACACTTCGCAGTTTTATCGGTTAAAGACTTCAAGTAGGTACGTCCTTCTCTGGATCACTCCTGAGATGTTAGATTGGGAAGCCAGAAACGGCATCAGATATGGTTCTTGAAGAAATTTCAATCTGGTCTTGAAAAACAAACACTTTTGATCGACATAGTCCGATTCATTTGCTGTGTAGTTCACCCAACTAACGAAATCATCCGATAAGAGATCATGCCAAGATGGGTAACTATAGCCTATAGGTAGGTTTCTGGAACTGTGTAGGCAAAATCATCACACCGAACAAAGTGCTAAGCTCGCTCTGTTTTACGATTGGCTCTTCTTCGATGACAGAATCGACAATATTATTATGAATGTTGAACCTGCTGCTCTCTTGATGGTACGATCAACCGCAATATCGGTCTGCTATGTTTTAGGTTACTAATCTAAAACTTAACTCATCTTAAAATAATAAAAAAGCCAACCAAAATCTAACTTATCTTAATAGTTGATCACGCATTAGCTGTAGCAGACGACTCTTCCTCGCGGACACAACATTTGACACATAGTTTGGCGCAGAAGCAAAGCACCATAATAGCCGAGATGGAGTTCAGAAGAACAATCACGAAGGTTAAAGGGTAACTAATATGCATATTGCTCTTTGACTTCACCACACCAATATTTCTTCTTTTTTTTAACTTTGTTTTGTGTCTTTTTGTTTTTCTTCTCCGGAAGAGATTATGCTTATATACACGTATTTTCATCACAAAATTAACATTTTTGGAAAATAAATCGGGAAGATGTGTATATTTTACATTTTTCACTAAAGAACATTGGAAGTTTTACATTTTACGCTACTTTCTTGATTCTCATGCCATCAAATATATACACATACATTAAGTGATTTAAATCTACTAAACTATTTTAACATTTTATTGTAACAAAAACTTCTCTTAAATTTAAGATTCCTATATTATCGCTTTCCTTTTCACAAGTATTTGAATATAGAAAATATGAGAATTTGAAAATGTCAATTGAGGTGATGGCTAAAAATGTTAATTAGCGATTAAAAATGTTATAGAAAATATTTATAATTTATAAATGTTATTTAATCTGAATTAAAAATTTTAATTATTCCATATGTTGCTTTTTTCCTTTTTTACAAAACTTTTAATATAGAAAATTGTCTTCATTTTTGAAAAAGTTAAAATTCTTTTTTAACCACATCATTGTTTTTATTTTCCTTTACAATTTCAAAAATCTAAAAATGCTAATTAATGACATGTCTAATTACGATTGGTGGTTTAAAATCCCATGTGGACGGCCTGAGAGGCTTATGGCTTCGACTTTTATATAGTATAGATTTCTTGATTCTCATGCCATCAAATATATACACATACATTAAGTGATTTAAATCTACTAAACTATTTTAACATTTTATTGTAACAAAAACTTCTCTTAAATTTAAGATTCCTATATTATCGCTTTCCTTTTCACAAGTATTTGAATATAGAAAATATGAGAATTTGAAAATGTCAATTGAGGTGATGGCTAAAAATGTTAATTAGCGATTAAAAATGTTATAGAAAATATTTATAATTTATAAATGTTATTTAATCTGAATTAAAAATTTTAATTATTCCATATGTTGCTTTTTTCCTTTTTTACAAAACTTTTAATATAGAAAATTGTCTTCATTTTTGAAAAAGTTAAAATTCTTTTTTAACCACATCATTGTTTTTATTTTCCTTTACAATTTCAAAAATCTAAAAATGCTAATTAATGACATGTCTAATTACGATTGGTGGTTTAAAATCCCATGTGGACGGCCTGAGAGGCTTATGGCTTCGACTTTTATATAGTATAGATGTGACAGAATAACGATATATGGTAAATTGGTAATCCTTCGCTAATAACAATTATTAATTACACACTATTATTTTAACCATTTATGTTAATCATCATTAATATTTTTGATTTTGTGAACTAGAGATTATATGTGTATATTAATTTCTTGACATATATTTAATTTTATTTACTCTCTAACAATGTTAAAACAAAACAATATATGATATAATGAAAAAGTTATGATTATCTCATAAAAAACAAAGAAACAAAACAAAAATAAAAACTCGACTATCTCGCAGTGTGATTCAGGTCATACTCCGAACAAAATGGACAAAAAACAAATCATAATGAAATCGATAATTAAGGTTTTTTTTTCAGTTCACATTAAGTTTGACTAGACATTGTCTTATCCACTTACTTCACAAACCTCACTTGACTAACAGTCAAATACAAAAACAAACATTAATTGAAATAGTTTTTTAACAATTATATTACAAAAATGCCATTCTTCGGACATAACTAGAAGAAACTTCGAAGATATAGCATTTTCATCAATTTGGTTTGCCGGAGGAGTGACTCGCAGAACACGCAACCACCTTAGCCCATTGTTTCAGCTTCTTCTTCATCGTCTTTCCATCATCATCTTTTAAAACTTGATCGTCAAAACCAAAGTAATATCAAATTACAAACAAAGAAAAAACAAACTGATACCTTTGTTGACGATAGTCGTGGTGCTAGAGTTGCTGACGTCATTTTCCGACGCAGACGACGAGGTCCGGGACAAATGGTTGCTGTACTGTCTTTGAATGGTGCTGTACAAATCCAAAGCTGGGATTGTTTTGGAGAGTCTTGGATTAAAGTCAGGAGAATCTGGCTCAAACCCAAACCCTAGGTCGAAGCAGCCTTTGAGCTCCTCGATATCGTCGTTTGTGACGCAGCTCTTGCTGCGACGAAGACGATCTGATGGATGCCTCTTCTTCATCCGCAGCCAAGCCTCTTCGCGGTTTACGTCTAGTGGCAAAGACTGTTGCTTCATCAGAGGTTTTGGCGGCTGTGGCTCTTTGTGGTTCGACATTGTAGTAGGCTAGCTAGTAGCTAGGTTTTTCTTTTTGCCTTTGAGTGTGTAAGAAACACTTCATATATAGTAGTAATAAGACATTAAGACTAGACAAAACACGTGAACAAGACTACACAGTAATTATATAAGACACTAATGTTATTTATTGAAACGCCTTTTGAATTTACTGTACCATATAAGACTCATTTATCACCACACATTTCCATATAAAAATTTAGTATAAAGTCATTTAACCACGAATATGAAAAAAGTATTAATATATTTAACAATTCTGTTTAATATCGTAATTAAAGATAGACAGAAACAATTAACTAATACTGTACTATATATGTTTGTTTGTCATATGTTTTCGATTATTGAATGAGTTAGAAAATAGTTAGATGTTAAAATCATAAAACTCATTACAATTTATATAAGTTTTCGATATTTAGAGAAACAATTGCAATATGGCTTAGAAGAATGATAAAAGAGAAAAACAAAATCATGAGAGAAGAGGAAAATACACTTTGGTGGAGCAGAAAGAAATTAATAAAATAAAATTCTAACTTCTTTTAAAAAAAAAATAACATTTTAACTTATTAACGAAAACAGAAATGGCTCTTTTGATCTCTAATTAATTTCGGATGACAAAAAAAAAAAAACAGAAAATATTTAGAGGCATGTTTTAGGCTTGAATTTGGAAGCATTTATGGGTTAATTAAAACGGAATTGTACGAAAAAACGAAGAACACCTTTAAGATCAACGAAGCTTTGATAGTATATTAAAGAGATGAGAGTTGAATTATGAAAAGTTCTATTGACACTGAAAAAAAAGTATATTTTTATCCAAAAAAAGAAGAAGTAATGTATATATATATAGAGGAGATACTTTACATTCTAATGCTTGATAGTGATTTTATCGGTTACACTTATGGGTCATAAGTAATCATGTTGTGTCACAATTGGTATTAGAGAAGATCACCACATAATGGTTTTATTTTTATTTTTATTTTCTTAGATCACCACATAATAAGTAATATTAAATTCCTTTATAAAACTAATTAAAACTAAAATTGAATAGAAATAAATAAACTAAAATTTTAAATGAAAATTGTACTTATGATTGCTTACAAAAGTATACAAATTTACTCTTGGTCGCGGAAGCATTTTGGTTTAGATTGATGTACCAAAAAACAAAATTGTTGTCGTATTCGGTTTTGGCTAGATCATCGTCATAATTCGCCGATCATTCCATAGAGATTTCCAACAAAGCGATGAGCACGTGCCATGTATTAAAGGACACCGATAATTGTCATTAGTAATTGTGATTTGTGAACTAGCGACAACTTATATTTTGTCGTTATTTTCTTACCATTAATATCTTCGTCAAATAATAATTAATGTAAATGTCCAAAAATAATTTTAAGAAAACAATATAACTATTTTTACAATGTTTAATAAAATATATCATGATTTTCTTGGTAACTTCTGATTATATTAAGAATTTGACAAAACATAATGAAAATGTAAAAGCTTGTGCCACTACATTAGGTACATACAACAAAGTGTACAAATTTATTCTTGGTCGCGGAAGTATTTTGGTTTAGATTGATGTACCAAAAACAAACTTATTGTCTTATTCGGCTTTCGCTAGATCATCGTCATAATTCGCCGATCATTCTATAGAGATTTCCAACAAAATGGACCACCAGATTGTTGAAAGAGAAATTCCTAAAAATAGCACTAAAACAAGTTTTATGGACAATAATAGCACACACTCCATTAATTTCCAAAAATAGCACTAGTTGACTTACTATGAAGTTTTTGTTCTAAACATATTATCATTAGTTTATTTTTTTAATAATACCACAATTTTTATATAAAATCTATTCAACCAAAATAAATTAGAAATAAATCTAAAATATTATATTTGAGTTCTCTATTTTCAATTTAGGGTTTATATTTCAACCATTTAAAAGAAATTTTAATTCATTTTAATATTAGTTTATGGTATTTTATTTGGGTTCCCTAATTCCAATTTAGGGTATATATTTCCACCATTTAAAAGAGATTTTTTATTTTTAATATTAGTTTGTGGTATTATATTTGAGTTTCCTATTTCTAATTTAGGGTATATATTTCCACTATTTAAAAGAAATTTTGATTCAATTTAATATTAAGATAGTGTTTTCTCTCATTTTTATTTCTATCTTATATTTTAATTAAAGTTTATGGTGCTATTTGTGGAATTTTAGAAATGTTGTGCTAATTTTGGAAGAAAAACTTTTTTTAGTGTTATTTTTGTCAATTGCCCTTGTTGAAATTTGTCCTCACCCATTCAAACTTAACTAGACTTGAACCTTCTTTCTACATGACCTGATCAATTCGATCAGGTACTCGCCATCTATTTTCATAGTTCAACTCTTCGACAACATCTTCAAACAGAGCTTTCCATAGTGTTGCTTCCCTAACCCAATTAAAAGCTTGAATTAAGCCCAAACTATAATAAAATTGGGCCCTTTTCCTACACCTACTTTTTTATGAAAGGAACGAAATTTTGGATTTTAATTTCATAGTGATCAAATAAAGCTGGCCAAAATCTAATATATTCAATTTAGACTTTGTTTTTTCTATCATTCAACTCACTTTTTGTATTGTATATGACATTTTTTTTTTTTTTAACATCTGCTTATGTTAGCAATTATTTGACTACATATATAATGCCCCTAGGAAAATTGGGGCTCAAAACGATTACGTCTTCCCTTATATATGTCTCAAGACCGGCTTTGGTGCTCTTGCAGTGATTCAGATACTACAAGGAATAAGATGGAGTACAAAAACAAATACTATAAGAAAATAACAATCGATAATTTTTCTTTTAATCGGTTTACATAAACTTTGACAAGACGTTGTCTTATCCACTAACATTCAAATACTAAACATTTTAGAGTTTGTTAACATTATATTACAAAACTGTCATTCTTCTGACATCAATTTGGGTTTCCCGGAAGAGTGCCGCACCGAAAACCCGACCACCTTAGCCCATTGTTTCAGCTTCTGCTTCATCGTCTTCCGGTCATCACCTTTTTAAAGTTACTCCTCAAAACCGGAGAATATTCAGACAATGAAAAAAAAAAAATTAATTCCAAAACAAGAATTCACAAATGACACATACCTTTGTCGACGATCGTCGTGATGCTGTTGGAGTTGCTGACTTCATGTTCCGACGCGAATGAAGACGTTCTAGACAAATGGTTACTGTACTGTCTATGAACCGCGCAATACAAATCGAGAGCGGGTATTGTAAGGGAGAGCCTTGGATTCAAATCAGGAGATTCTGTTTCAAACCCAAACCCAAGCTCGAAGCAGCCTTTAAGCTCCTCGATATCATCGTTCGTGACACTCTTGCTGCGAGGAAGGAGATCAAGTGGGCGTTTCTTTTTCTTACGCAGCCAAGCCTCTTCGCGATTCATGTCCGGTGACCATGAGTGTTGCTTCATCAGAGGTCTTGGAGGCTGTGGCGCGTGGTTAGACATTGTAGTGGCTAGGTTTGTTTTGATTGTGTAAGAAGCATTTCTGCTATGTAATACGAATAATATCTACACAAAAGTGTTAATGTAGTAGGAAAAAGTGAATGGTTTCGGAAAGAGAAGGCTCCTAAAATTTTCTATTAGTTTTAACTTCTTTTTTGGGGGCTAAAGCCATATATTAATCCATATTTTGGGGTTGTTTTAGTATTAATAAGGAATATAATCGCCAGCACATTCCATTGTACAAACTCTATCTCCAGTTATTATTACCTTTAGTGGAAAACCTCTATCTCTAAAATGTATTTTTAGGATAATAATCTCTAAAATGTTTGTTATATAAGGAAAATATTAAATTTCAAGAGATTTAATTTGAATAACAGCATGACGTGTTAGCAATTATTTAAATAATATATAGAGGGATATTGTAGAAATTAACAGCTTTTATAATTATGTTAAAACTTTATCACAAAATATCTTCTTTTTTTAAGACCTTTTTAGGATTGTAAAAGATGAATGCATTCTTAATGAATAAGAATATGCTTTGTTGACCAGAAAACAAATATATAAGAACATGTTTCAAAAAGATTATCTTTCTTAAAATAAGTTATGAATATGATTTATATTCTTTTGAGAAATGGGTTATGAGAGTTCTAATTGTTGGAAATGATGAAAAATGGTCAAGTAAGATTGCGACCAAAAACTCGTAATTGTCGGGCTTGTGCTGATTTGTCTTTAAATATTGGATCTTAATCTCTCTGCAAACGACCAAACTACGTGAGATTATATTGTCTTTTGTTTTTTTACAAGACCCTCTCTTTTTTGTAATGTCTCTCAAACTTCCTTCCTGATTAGTGTCTCTCTCTCAAACCTTCTGATTGGATTGATATTCCAACAATTTTTCCCTCAAACCATGGATCATATTATTTTGACAATATCTATCATATTATTTTCAATGTGAATCTTCACATGCAACACTCACATCTCCTTGTGAACTCATGTATATGATGAAGTGAAGTAAAACGTCTATATGTTTTTCCCCTCATAGTGAAAATGTTATTAGAAATCTGGCTATGACAAAAAAAAAAAAAAAAAAAAAAAAAAAAAAAAATCTGGCTATGACAAAACACATCCACTATCTCTTGTTTTAAACTCGTTTATGTCATCAACCGTTTATCTTGAAAATTATATTTGGTTATTTGAATAAGAGCCATATATTATGGTTAATCACTGGTGGATAGAGCTACAACTTTTTGTAACCATAACTTATTTCATTGAATCATAATATGGTGTTACCACCCACAATGAAGGTAAATTAATAAATTATAATTAATATTGCATGGGAATTGTATACTTACCTCATGTAATATGCTTGAATCATTGGTACGGTTCTCCCTAACGTTTATCTACTAGCTTGAAATGAACACCTAAGGAAGTGTGCGTACTACCTTAACGTGATTTATTTCTGAACATGTCTAGAACTCTGGTTAGATATATATGACTCATGTGATAGTTCTAGCACAAGCTGCACACTTTTGGTTCTGTTTTCTTCTAATTTTCTATATGATTGAAGGCTGGATAGTTTATTAGATGAGAGGCTATACAATATATATAGAGATTACAAGAGAGATTAGATATCCAAGAATTACAATTATATCCTTAAATTACTTCTATCTTACACGCTCCTTCAATATGGAGGGGTTTGAGCGACTCCAATCTTGGAAGTAATCTCTGTAAATTGTGGCTAGGGAATTGGTTTTGTCAATCAGGCATGAGATACACGTAGGGCTCAAGTGCTATAAGTTTCATTAAGCTTCGTTTCCTATGATTTCTCCTATCATTACGACTATCATATTCTCGTGTACATTATCGATCTTGAATCTCTAATCATCGGAGTTTTTTATTATTATTATTTTTTTCGGAGAAAGAGGAGCAAAACCGAAAGAAAACAAACTTTTATTATCCGTAAAATGTTGTTACAAAGCTTAACTAAAAACTAATAATGAAATAAGCTTATGTATTGTATATAGTTTTAACATTAATCTCAACATGAAACCAAGATCCAGTTAACCAAATTTAACCAGAAATAACCAGTCCACATCTATACTAGTATTTTTGAAGTACATTTTTAGCGGGTGAGGCAAAATGCATTTGGATACAATGGGTATTCGACCCGTTGATATATTTGGTCATAAAAAGTTTGTTGGGTCGGATTATATTTAACTCAACTCATACATCGGATATTCCATATTTAATAATTTAGATATTTAGAAGATTTGATTAAGATTTAGAATTATGCTTCTCCTATCATCTTTGTTTGTTTTGTTTTTAATTGTTTTGAGTCATCTTATAATACATAAAGTAATTTTAAAAACGGACATATATTATCCAATTGACGAAAAATGTGATTCGAAATTTTTAAAACGGACATTTATTATCCAATTAAAGTAATTGTTTCTACATATACTATGATTCAAAATTTTAAAAATGGACATTTATTATCCAATTGACGAAAAATGTGTGTTCAACGTTCCACATCGATTAAAATATTTAGACAATGATTCAGAATCATATCATAAATAAGATCAACATTAATAAAATAAGTGGATTTTTTGTGGGATGAGTTTGGCGGGACAGGTTTTTGAATCAACAATAAAAAAATTAAAATATCAAGACGGATTAAATCCTTATTTTTTTTTCTAATGCCATCAATATTAGACATATCAAATCAGTCTCATTTAGAAAAAATTGTATAAAACCAAAAATTGTCTCCTGGTATAATATTATTTAATAACAATTGTAAACTATAAAATATAAATGTCTTAGAGAATAATACAATTTGCAAACTTTTATATATAATAAATAATCGTTAAATTTTTAAAATTACTATTTTTAGAAAACAAATCACAGGACGGGTTAAGAAATTATATGACGGGTTATATTTCGGAACGGGGTTATATGGTGGACGAGTTTGAATCAATATTTATAAAATTTTAAAATATTATTAACATGCCGCTTTAATACATATTAAATCTTCAGTTTATTAAAATATAAATGTCTTAGAGAATGATACAATTTATAAACTGTTATATATAATAAATAATCATTAAATTTTAAAATCACTACTTTTAGAAAATAAATCACGGAACAGGTTAAAAAATTACGGGACGAGTAATATTTCGGAATGGGGTTACATGGTGGACGGGTTTAAATCAATATTTATAAAATTTTAAAATATCATTAACATGCCGCTTTAATACGGGTTAAATGCTCAATTTATTAACAATTGTCCCGTGGACTCGTGCAGGGGCGGACCCACGTGGCAGTAGAGAGGGGCAGCTGCCACTGTCAATTTTTTTAAAAGTAATGCTATTTTATATGACTTTTAATATCTACCCCTTTTAATATATTATTTATTGTCCCTAACTTTGTTTTTTTTCTAAAGATACGTTTCTATTCTCCAGTTTTAACTTTTGTGTAATATTTTTATTAAACTAAAAAGTCCACTTCATCTAAAAATAAGCATAGCCCAATTGTGTTTATTTATTTTGTTACAAGCCCATTTTTCTTAAACACAATGTTAGGGTTTTATTTGTTTACGAAGTAAACGTGCCTCAGTGAAACGTCGTCAACTCTGATCTTTTCTGGTTATTCTTTTTCGATTTCAGTCAAATTTTGATTTTATTTGTTCTCACTTCTCATCAAACACAAAATCTCCATTCAAGGCAATTCTCTTCTATATTTAATTTTTCTTTTATTAGAATTTTATTTTGTTTCTCTTACTCTAGTGTCTCTATTTTTTACTTTAAGTTTAGAACATTGTTTTTTCTGTAAATTTGGTTTTCGGAAGTAAAACCAAAAACGTTTTATTAGACAAATTTACAATTTAGAAAAATAAGATGTATAATATAGAATTAAAAATCTGAGGCTACTACGATGATCAATTTGATCATTATAATTGGACTTAGTGTATTTGTTTAGGAAAAGTTGGTTTATAGTGATATAATTTATTATTTTGCAGATATGTCAATAGACCAATATTTCAAACCAACAACATCTGCTTCAAATTCTTATCATGATTTGGATAATTTGCCGTGGGATCCTGCTGAAAGAAAAAGAATATTAGATTATCATCCAAATCAAAGGGACGAGGTAAGACGCAAGTACTTAACTAGAGGTCCATGTCAACCTTATGATCATATTTTTCCTCAAAAAAGAATAGGAACTGCATTGAGGCGATTTAATTCAGCTTGGTTTGGTAAATACTCTAGTTGGCTAGAGTATAGCACATCGACCAATAAAGCCTACTGCTTGTGTTGTTACTTATTCAAAGACGAGATACCAAAAAGAGGCAAAAATTATGCGTTTGTGGAAGAAGGTTTTTCTCTGTGGAATAAGCCTGAGACACTAAGGGAACATGTGGGTGAAACGCCCAACACATTTCATAATATTGCTGCTAAGAAATGTGATGATTTGTTGAATCAAGCTCAGTCTATTGTGCATGCTTTGCATAAGCAAGATGATGTGGTAAAAAAGGAGTATCGCATCCGGTTGAATGCTTCTATTGATGCTTCCAGGTACTTGTTGAGACAAGGGTTACCTTTTCGTGGTCATGATGAGTCAAAAGAGTCTACTAATAGAGGAAATTTCTTAGAACTCATTAAATACACTGGAGAACAGAATGATGCTGCACGTAAGGTTATTTTAGAGAATGCTCCAAAAAATAACCAGATGATTTCTCCAGTGATTCAAAAGGATATTGCGAATTCTTTTGCAGAAGAAGTTGTGAAATCTATCATAGAAGAAATTGATCATAATGTGTTTGCCTTGTTGGTTGATGAGTCTGCTGATATTTCTGACAAGGAACAAATGGCTATTGTTTTCCGATTTGTTGATAAGAGTGCAGCAGTTAAAGAAAGATTTGTTGGAGTTATTCATGTAAAAGAAACATCTTCTTTATCTCTGAAATCTGCAATTGATGGGCTGTTTGCAAAATATGGGTTAAGTTTGACAAAAGTGAGAGGACAAGGTTATGACGGAGCAAGCAACATGAAGGGTGAGTTCAATGGGCTTAGATCATTGGTTTCTAGGGAAAATAGTTCTGCATATTACGTCCATTGCTTTGCTCATCAACTTCAGTTGGTCGTCGTTGCAGTTGCAAAAAAGCACTTTGATGTTGGAGGGTTTTTTGACATGATTTCTACGCTGTTGAATGTGGTTGGAGCTTCTTGCAAGAGAAAGGATATGATTCGAGAAAGTTATCGGAAAAAATTTCAGGACGGAATTAGTAGTGGTGACATTAGCACTGGAAAAGGATTGAATCAAGAGCTTTCTCTTCAAAGGCCTGGAAATACTCGTTGGAATTCTCATCATAGAACGTTAGTGCGTATGGTTGAGCTGTTTCCTTGTATCATTGAAGTTCTTGAGTATATCCAAGATGAAGGAGTTGATGACTCAAAAAGACGTCAAGCGTTTGGTCTTCTCAAGTACTTTCATACATTTGATTGTGTATTTTATATGCAATTAATGTTAGTCATTTTGGGACTGACCGATAATTTATCGATGGCTTTGCAAAGGAAGGATCAAGATATTTTGAATGCTATGTCACTTGTTGAATCAACTAAGCGGGAATTACAGAAGCTACGTGATGATGGATGGGATTCATTTTTGATTAATGTTTCTTCTTTTTGTGATCAACATAATGTTGAAGTGCTCAAGATGGAAGAAGACTTTGTTGATTCAAGGAAGCCAAGAAGAAGAACCAACATAACCAATGTGCATCATTATAAGGTTAATTGTTTCTATACTGTTCTGGATATGCAGCTTCAGGAGTTTAATGATCGTTTTACCGAGGTAAACACTGAACTGCTTATTTGTATGGCTTCTTTAAGTCCCGTTAACTTGTTTCATGAGTTTGACAAGGCAAAGTTGATGAGATTGGCTGGATTTTATCCAGAGGACTTTAGTTTTGGGGATCGTTTGTCTCTTGAACATCAACTCGGAATCTATATTGACAATATTCGCGCAGATAAAAGATTCAAGAATTTGAAGAATCTTGGAGATCTTTCTCGTCTTATGGTGGAAACGCAAAAGCATCTTGCGCATCCTTTAGTTTACAGACTTTTGAAGTTAGTTTTAACTTTGCCTGTTGCTACTGCAAGTGTCGAAAGGTGTTTCTCTGCAATGAAACTAGTGAAGACAGCATCACGCAACCGAATTGGAGACCAGTTTCTAAGTGATTGTCTAGTATGTTATATTGAGAAAGATTTATTTGGATATGTTACAAATGACACAGTGATAGGAAGATTTCAGTCTATGAGTGAGCGTAGGGTACTTTTATAAAGTGTTATTATATTTTTTTTTATTACGTGTTTCGTAAGATATTATTTTAAAATATTTAATTAATTTTTTTTAATTTAATATTATTGCCACGGGTAAAAAAATTTCCTGGATCCGCCACTGGACTCGTGGTATACCGTTACTTAATAACAAATTAACAATTGTAAACTATAAAATATAAATATTTTACAAGGATATACAATTTGGAAAATTTTATTCATACTAACTTTAAAAAATAAATCACGCGGTTAAAATCTAGTATCTCAGTATAAGTTAAAACAAAATTCATCGAATCGTCATAACGTTACCTTGTGTGTAAGTTATTGGGCTCATTTCTCATCCTCTCCATATTTCAACTTATTTTTTATTTTGATAGAATTAATGGTGGCCACCTCCAGTCTATGATCCGACCCACACATGTTTTTGTTATTCTACATACGTGTCGGAATACCATGCAATACAATTTTCGTTATCTAGTACAAGATCCAGCCTAGCTACATCTAACTACATTTCCTCTTCGCTCAACCCAAATCATATATTTAAAAGGAAGAAATGACAATTATAGTCGAATCTATTTAAACAACCTTAACTTGAAATTCAGAATTATAAAAAGATCTAAATTTAGCTAAGTTTAAACCTTTGGTGTCTTGCATATCTACCGTAAACAAGTGATCATAATAAAAATGTGATTGAAACCTTAGACAAAGCAACATGTTAATTAAGGACGGCGGTGAATTTAAGACTCATAAATTGCAATGAGGTTGAAGGTACCGATCAGCGCGATCAATACCTTCAAAATAAAAATGTGATTGCAACCTCGGACGAAGCAACAACACCTAAAGTTAGGGAAGTCTTGAAGGTATTGATCGCGCTAGTCAATTTATGTTTAAATTCCTAAAAATTAATATTAGCCATAACAACACCTAGAAATACAACATCAAAAATATTACTTTTTATTTTGAGTATCTACAATATCTGACCACAGAAGACTATAAAATTAGGTGGACGAATTGATCACTATTTCTACAGTAAAAGAGCAGATAAAGTTACTTTATTATCCTTACACACCTTTCCCATCTTCTTTTCTCTCTCTTCATTGCTCAGCTCATGAGAAATAAACGGTGTCGAGAAAGAAACGGAAACGACGACGATGAAGATGATTGTATATGGCTAAGTTTTCTGGCAAGAGCAATGACTAAGTGGCATAAATGATTGTACGTGTTAATGGTTCCGATGGTGGTGGTGGTGATGATTCTATCGGTAGTGGTGATGATTATATCGGTTGCGGTAACTACGTCGGAGAAAGCGACAATGTCGTGAAGTTAGATCAAATAGAGTGGTGAGTTGAGACGAAGATAGGGACGGAGGAGCTGTGATGATTGAAGATTTGACAGTGGCAGCCAAAAAACTTAATTATGTTGTTTTCTGGGTTTGCTCATCGGTGACTAGAACTAAAGTAACACATGTTACTTTTATTGTTATCATGTTAACATCGTTATACACGTTAATATAAATATTATCTATATATTTACTATCTTACCATAAATATTTTCTATGATAATATAAACTTTATCATATCAATTATAAACTTATCGCGGTACAATATGTTTTAACACGATATATTTATAAATTTATTAATATATATTTTGTTATCGTGCTAAACCAATAGATAATCATTTAACTCATCATATATTCTTATTCAGATATTTGACGGACAATCTATTCAGAATCAAATAAGAAACGTCGATAACTATTTTATTATATTGTTAACTAATTTGTTATATGCGGAGGGACATTTTTGTCCAACTTACAGAAGTTGAAGTGAGAGAACTAATAATATAAAAATTATGGATATATTCTTAATTTTTTGGTCAATTGTGGTTTTAAATTAATATAGCCCTTTTATTTTTCAAAAATATTACATTTAATTCCAAATATCCGTTCTACAATATGGGCAATAAACATTGGTGTCTAGCCAAGGCAATAAGCATATGGAGTGAAACTTATGGGCACATGGTAGGTGTACCAAGGTCTCACCCTTCTTGAACTGGTCTAGACATATAGCACAATCTTGTTGTTCCCTAACTCTCCACTTGAACCATTCGATCAACCTTCCTCGGCTCTTCCTCAACCCGACCACCTCGGTCGGTAACTCCCCGGGAGGTTTACCTTTTCCTTGCTCCAATTTATTCCCTTTGTCTTTACCATTTTGCCTGAACTTGAAAATTGAAAGCAAAATTCAAGAAAGAGTAATGTCAAATTTTTGGCTTTCTTGGAAAGAAGTTGCCTAGTAGTTTCCGGGAAGTTTCCACTATAAAAACAAAAAGACGCAACTTAACAATAAATAGCGAGAACTTGCTAAAATGCGCCCACAAGTCACAAAGTGGGGTTAACAATAAAGAGAGAATGAAATAATTTCCCGACAAAAGACAATCTCACAATTATATGCTCATGTGATACCACATGTTATGAATTAGAATACATCATCATGCGTCATTATCATGACAAATAGAGCAAAAGACTTGAAGCTTCTTCGGTGCATTTTAAGGTGAATTATGAATTTGTTTTACTACCGTACGCCGTTTTTTTACTAAATCGAACCTTCTGCGCGGGATTCTCAGCCGTTCGTTCAGCCTCTTCTTTGCCTCTTTGGCTGCTCCGTCAAGTTTCTCATCGTTGTCTTCTCCATAAGATTTGTTCCTAACACTTCTCTCCTATAATTTTCCAAAATTTAAAGATTCCAATCTCATAAAGAATGTTTTAATTAACGACATAGTATTTTAAGAAATTTTTTTTTATAAAAAAAACCTATATATTATTTTCTTCATTTCATTACCGAGAAGGAGACATGAGCCTGGTGGCTCTCATGATTGGTAGTGTAAAGAGAAAACGATGGTCGCCGCGTCCAGACGTGTCCTGCTGCTGCCGCCACAGCCGTGTTCGTGGATTCAATCGGGGGAGCACCACCGTGGAAGCGTCGCCTTCTTGCGCACTCGACTCCGGCAAGCATACCAGCCATAGCTTGTGTATGTGTTGTGTTTTTTTTAGTTTTGCTTGAGAGAAAGAGAGAGAAAATATGACCGGCAGCTACTACTATTATTTATATTTATATATTACTAATAATTGAGGATAGCAATATTGGTACATATAAAGATGGTTAATTAGCTAGACACCACAACTTTAGTTTTTAAATAGATAACAATATAAGTCCTTTTTTTTTGGCTATCTCTTACATTTATAAATAACGGGTTAGTAAAAATTATTTAAACATGTGACGTTAAAAGGAAAAATAAAAAACCCACGAATTTATCATTGCAACGTAGGTCTAGTAGACATGTTTAGGAAAAGAGTATTAGAAGGTGTTGGGAATTTGTTTTTTTTTTTTTGTAAATAACTCGTAAAATTATATCACCAAATCAATTCTATGGGAATAATTGCAAACAAAAAACTAGATGGAACTTAGGTGGATGTGATTCAAGTGGTTTGTTGTGATCCCATTTGTAATAAATTAAGTCTTATATATGATAACTCCAGTGCTTTAAAACCAAATTTTAATCATTGGAGATGTCGATCAACTCGTGAATCTCAAAAATGAGATGCTTATATCTCCCAAAGGAAACTCAAACACATAAACCCTAAGTCGCTTAAGTAAAATTCTACGCATAGTCGTTTTCCTATCTATACACTTCTTTTGCTATTACTCTTATTACTTGACACAAGTAATGTGATATATCATTTATAGAAGGAAAAAATAACATAACAGTATTTCATTATGTAATAATTCATACAATTTTTCTTTATTATGTATCAAATTATGCAAGATGTGCTAATTATTGATGGACCTACCATTTTCAGTTATGAAATACTATGTTTTATTTATAAGGTGTCGATAGAATGTCATTTTTAGTTATTACATGAGGTATTCTGTTTATTTCTCTATGGTTATACTAAAAATGTCATGTTATCCAATTTATTTTATTTTTATTTTTAATGAAGCATGTCATAAATAGAAACGTTTATAAACAAATTATAAAATTACATAATTGACGATGATATGCTATTAGAAAATATAACTAGCGAAAGTTTTACCCTTATAAACCGCAAGTGCACATGCAAAAACAATAATATTTAAGAATCGAATCTACGAAGAGTCGGAGACCAAACAAAATACACAATAGACCTATAAAAAATTAGATTTGGTTAAAATAAAATAAAAAGTTACAGGAACTCATGTGAAATTTCAGAAATAAAATTATTAAATTAAATAAAAAAAATAAATTAAATAAATATAATATTTATGAAAAATATTGAGAATAGAGAAATCATTAGGGAGTTCTCTCATGACGTTTGACCGAAAAGATAAGTGCACTTTGGTGACGTAGGTGGCCAAATCAATTGTTTTAAACCTCTCCGCATGCACCACCATATTTCTGAAACTAGAATATTACAATTTTTGTGTAATCTGGAGCTGACACATCAGTCTTTCTATCTTCCAATATAATAAGATCATTTTATTAATATGATCTAGCTTAAATGTTTTACAACGTATGGGCTAACACTAATTTAGCAAAGATAATGGCAGTTTTAGATGAGTACATATTTGGATTCCCATCGGACAAGTTAACAACTGTGTCAAACAAATGGTGGGGAATGCCAAAGAAAAGTGGACGCGAAGATGGTGGAGGAAAGAATACCGAAGATGAGATGTCAAAGACTAAGCATCTTCTGAGACTACAGTCTTTACTGGTTGAATTTTTTAAATCAAATATTAAATGATAGTTTCTAAAATTAAAAAAAAAAGAAATTTTTTAAAATGTGTGTTTTTAACCAAAACATCATATATTTTGAAACAGAAATAGTAGAAATTAGTGTATTTTTAAGGACTGCATGTAGCAATCAACCTGTAATATATGCGCTCAACTAGGATCACCCTATACTTTCGACCTCTACCCAATTCACCCTTTATTTTTCTTCTTCTTCCTAATTCCACCCAATCTATAAAATTCTATCTAATTAACCAAATTCAATAAATCTCTGAAATTGCGATTTAAAATCAATAATACGCTTTCATTATCTCGCGATTTGGGTATATCAGAGTTTAAAATCTTGACTCGGCTAAGCTTTTCAATGTGTTGTTGACATGTTGTTGAGAAATTTTTAAACTCGGGTGTATTCAAAATCACGAAATAGTAAATGCGAATTATTGATTTTAAATCGCAATTTCAGAGATTAATTGAATTTGGTTAATCAAATAGAATTTTTATAGTTTAGGTGGAATTAGGAAGAAGAAGAAAAATACAGGGTGAATTGGGTAGAGGTCGAAAGTACAAGGTGATCCTAGTTGAACGCATATATTACAGGTTGATTGCTACAGGCAGCCCTATTTTTAAAACAAAAACTCATAAATAAGTAGGGTAGTTTTCAAAATCGAAAAAAAAAGAAATAAATGTGTGTTCTTAATTTCATAAACTAGTTAAAATAAGAAATAAATTGACAAGTGGAAGTTTGGTGTAGTGGGACCCACTGTTCTCCGTTTTCGTATCTCTCCACTCGATCTGAGAAATGGGGTCTTCTTTTTCTGTTTCTTCTCAAATCACACTCTTCAATGGCGATTTCTTCTTCTTCTTCTTCCTCCTCTATATGTTTTAACTCCACTCGATCTCACACAGCTCGCCAGATTTCATCTCCGTCGCGTCTCTTCCCAGTCACCAGCTTCTCCCCTCGCGCTCTCCTTCTCTCCGATAGACGATCTCTCCTATCTTCCTCCGCCTCTCGCCACCGTCTCTTTCCTCTCTGCGTTCGTGATTCTCTAGGTACATATACTGATTAGTACCATTGATTGTGGTTTTGCAAGTGTTTAGAAGAAATTATCAATTGAGTGATCAAAATTTGTGTTTGATTGATTTTTGGTTTAGCTGCTTTTGTGCTAATAGTTTGTAAGAGGGCCTGAATAGCAGCTACTAGTATTAATTTACATTGATCTCTAAGCATTTAGTTTGGTGGACAACAAAGTAAGTAAGACATGTGGTTCCAAATCCTTATATTACCCAATTTCTTCTGGTTACAACTCTAGTCTACTTCCACAACTTAGCACAAACACCAACAATAATGGATAGGTAGATGCTTAGGTTGACATGAATATTTTAAGTTCTTGTTGTTTCGGTTATTAGTATGACACTAAGAGTATTTGAGTTTTGAAATCCTCCCTCACGTCTCATTTTTCTATGTACAGCAGCTGAAGTTACAGAACGATCATGGGAAGACTCAGTCCTCAAAAGCGAAACGCCTGTGCTAGTAGAATTCTACACAAGTTGGTGCGGTCCATGTCGGATGGTGCACAGGATTATAGACGAAATAGCATTGGACTATGCCGGAAAACTAAACTGTTATGTCTTGAACGCAGACAATGACTTGCCGGTGGCTGAAGAGTACGAGATAAAGGCTGTGCCAGTAGTTCTGATTTTCAAGAACGGTGAGAAACAAGAGTCCATCATGGGTACAATGCCTAAAGAGTTCTACATTTCCGCCATAGAAAGAGTCTTGAACTCATGAAGAAGGTAATATCATTGATGAAGACCTCTCACTACCACTTTGATCAAATATATTGTTGGGAGCTTAAAGATCGATCCATTCCGATATGGTTAATATCTCATTGAGACTCGAGAAATAGCCTTTTGTCTTTAATCTGAACCTCTATCTTTTATTTTATTTTTCTTCTTTTATTTTCTGTGAATATAACTGTTGGGTTTGTGGAAAGATGGCTCAGGAAGTATTGTGAATACATATATCTTCCTTCTTCTATTGATGATTTTAGTGTTCTATAATTTCGTTTCTTTCAACTTCAGTGATCTCAGACTTCTAACGATGCTTTTATAGTTAGTGATGTTGTTGCTTCATCCGCTTCTTTAGCATTTGATATAGAACGCGGCGGTGGAGATGGATAAATAAACCGTTCAATGGACCGTCTCTCAAACTTTGTTTATGACGGTAAATGGCGGGTGAGCATTATATCCGAACTCGAGGACCCGACCCGAACCCTATCTGAAAAACCCGATTATAACCTGTATTCGAAATTTTAATTACCCGAACGGGTCCCAGATCTCAAGACCTGAAAACCCGAACTCGACTCCAAACCCGAACATACCCGTAATATATTATTAGTAATATTTATATTTTAAGATTTTAATAACATAAGTGTCTAAAATATTTGGATTTTCGGATATTTTGAATATTTTTAGGTATTAAACCTACTTTTGAGTAAATTTGGGTAAAAACTACTAGAGGTTTTTAGATATTTTGGGTATTTTCGAGTAGTTTAGATAAATTTGGAAACAAAATTTTTGATTTTTGAAAACTTAGGGTAACCCGAATCCGAACCCGAAATATTTGTATATGAAATATAACCCTTTCAAAAAAAATCAGTGACCCTATAAACCTAACACTTGAAATATTTGTGGTATTATTAGAGTTGTAGACATAAGTTTGAAAAATAAAAATGTAGTATTTTTTAGCCCGAAAAGTTGCAGGTTCTCTCCCTTAATCTGTTTTCATCCCAACATTTAAAATTAGAACTTTAAAAATCAAAACCTAACTTGTACCAGTTTCATCTTAGAAGATTTGATAAATTTTAAAATACAATTAAGCTTAACATTCTAGCCAATCCAGTTTATTATACCGCTCTCATCACCCACAAACACCGAGATTGTATACCTCCTTAACCTGCCAATAAATTGGTAAAATTCTCAGCAAGATAGACGCATAATACTTAATCAGAGCTTTATAACTGAAACCACCAAGAAAGAACTTGCTGACTAGATAAACAAAACCTCAAGATGTTTACCAAATCGTCATACAAGTATTTCATATCATTAGGCCATTTCTTTCAAGTGGATTATTAAAATAGAACCAAAAATGACATATCAAATGAAGGAAAAAAAAAATATATATATATATATACCGCGGGTCAAATTCGTTGTTCTTTGGACATGGTCAACAATTGTTTATTTTCCTTTTTCTACCTTTTCTCTAAAAAGAAAAGATATTTCTTGATCGAGACTAAAGAATATTTGCCTACTTTGACTATCTTAATCTACGGGTCAAATTCGTTGTTCTTTGGACATGGTCAACAATTTTTTTTTCCTTTTTCTACCTTTTCTCTATAAAGAAAAGATATTTCGAGAGTAAAGAATATTTGCCTACTTTGAGTATCTTAATCAATGGGTCAAATTCGTTGTTCTTTGAACATGGTCAGCAATTGTTTCTTTTCCTTTTTTTACCTTTTCTCTATAAAGAAAAGATATGTCTAGATAGAGAGTAAAGAATATTTGCCTACTTTGACTATCTTAATCATTTGCAAAAATGTAACTTGAGTATAAAAAGATGGGATACTAAAACTTTAAGTTCATTTTATAAAACCTTCATAAACTACTTGTATTAAAAATATATTCATAATGAGTTCCTCATCGCTATTTTCCATAATATTTAGTGTAACATTCGTGGTTTTTCTCTTTGGCGGTCTTTGCAAGGCTAATCGTGTGGTACAAGTGGACATCATTAATGATATTGGTTCAAATATTCAATTGGGACTACACTGCAAATCAAAGCACAAAGATCTCGGATCACAATCTTTAGCCCAACATCAACATTGGGGGTTTAGAGAAAATCTTAATTTTTGGGAAACGACTCTGTTTTTTTGTCACTTTGTATGGGAAAATCAATCTAAATGGTTTGATATTCTTGAAGCTAACAGAGATAAAGATATTTGTGAACATCATCCGTGCGTTTGGAGTGTAAGACCTAGTGGTCCATGTAGATTAACGGGTACTGAAAAATGTTTCCCATGGAACTAATGTAATATAGAAATAAGGTTGTTACAAGATTTCATTTCTATAAAGCTAAGAAATTGAAAGTATTTTTTTTTCAATGAATGTTAAATTTATTCACACCAAAAAAATACCACTGTTTACATAAAATGCATCCTTGTTTTGAATTAAATTGAAAGATTTTGATGATGAAAATTAAGGGAGTGTGTGGACTCGTGTCCCAATCAAAATATGGAGTGCGTCCTCAAATTGTGAGTTGCCATGATGCTTGAGAGTGCTTAATCTGTTTTTGACAAGGCCGTCAATGAATTTGAGCAGCTGGTCGGGAGAAGTAGGAAGCTCACCATGTCTACGTTGGTTCCGTTCTCTCCATATAAAGTCAATAGACGCTACTTTGACTATCTTAATCAGCGGGTCAAATTCGTTGTTCTTTGGACATGGTCAGCAATTGTTTATTTTCCTTTTTCTACCTTTTCTCTATAAAGAAAATATATTTCTAGATTGAGAGTAAAGAATATTTTCATACTTTGACTATCTTAATTATTCGCAAAAATGTAACTTGAGTATAAAAAGATGGGATACTAAAACTTTAAGTTCATTTTATAAAATCTTCATAACTTCTAGTATTAAAAAAATATTCATAATGAGTTGGTCATCGGCATTTTCCATAATATTTAGTGTAACATTCGTTGTTTTTCTCTTTGGCGGTCTTTGCAAGGCTAATCGTGTGGTACAAGTGGACATCATTAATGATATTGGTTCAAATATTCAATTGGGACTACACTGCAAATCATTGCACAAAGATCTCGGATCACAATCTTGAGCCTAACATCAACATTGGGGTTTTAAAGAATTTATTAATTTTTGGGATACGACTCTGTTTTTGTCACTTTTTGTGGGAAAATCAATCTAAACTGTTTGATATTCTTGAAGCTAACAAAGATAGAGATATATGTGAACATCGTCCGAGTGTTTGGAGTATAAGACGTAGTGGTCCATGTAGATTAACGGGTAATGAAGAATGTTTCCCATGGAATTAATGTAATATAGGAATAAGGATGTTACAAGATTTCGTATCTATAAATCTAAAAAAAGAAAAAGTCTTATTTTTTATTTTTTTTTAATGAATGTTAAATTTATTCACACGAAAAAAATACCACTGTTTACATAAAATGCATCCTTGTTTTAAATTAAATTGAAAATTTTTTATGAAGAAAATTAAGGGAGTGTGTGGACTCGTGTCCCAAACCAAACACGAAGTGCGTCCTCAAACTGTGAGTTGCCCCGATGCTTGAGAGTGCTTAATCTATTTCTGACGAGACCGTCAATGAATTTGAGCAGCTGGTTGGGAGAAGACAGAAGCTCACCATGTCTACGTTGGTTCCGTTCTCTCCATATAGTTTGAATAGACGCTTGAAAAACATATCGGAGAATGAAACGAGTGGAAGCGGTGAGTGTTGAGTCCGTAGCAAGCTGTAACAGAGCAGGGAAGCTAGATGTGTAGCGTTGGAGCAGGGGACCTTTTGTTAACACAGCCCATATTTTTGAAGAATACGAACATGTGAAGATGTGGTGATCCCGCGACTCCACTGAGCAACAACAGAGCACAAAAGCAGAGGAGATTCCTCTGTTCCAAGATAGCATTCTGTCACCGGTGGATAAACGGTTGTGAGCTGCAAGCCAAGCCATGAAAGCATATTTTGGAGTGGCACCTGAGAACCAAATTCCCTTATGCCATTCTGTTTCTGAACCTCTTTGACGAATCTGATGCCATGTCCCTCGAGAGGAGAACTTTGCCTTGAATTTACGCCTTGTCTTCTTCAAAACAAACGATATTCCCATGCTGTCTCCGTCGATGAATAGAAAGAGCTGCGGCAATAGTGGAGTTAAAAGATATTCCCATATCAATAACCTTATGAAAAAACTGTTTTCATTTTCTTGATCTAGATCACAAATGTAGGTTTAGCTGCTTTTGTGCTTATCTAGTTTGAAATCTTTTGAAGTTGGAAATATCTGCAAGTGTGTAAGAGAGATAATTGGAATAAGAAAAATGTGAAGATCTTGCAGGTTGAGATTATAGAAAGTCACTCTAAAGCTTTGTACGGAACTAAGTAGTTATTGTCGAATATCTCGTCAGAGCTCATAGCTTATAATTGGCCATGATATGCAACAACTAGAGTTTGTTTAACTTGATTTCTAAAAAATAAGTTTGGTGGAGAACAAAGTAATTATGTGAACTTGGAGATATCTGCGAGGTCACGAATTCACCTGTCAATTGAGAAAGAAAGAAGTGGAGTAAGAATAATGTGACATTTGTGTAGGTTGAGAATATCCAAAGCTATTTAAAGGCTCGTAGGAAAATAGGTCGAAGCTCCTTAATTAGAACTCATAGTTTATAAGAGGACATGAAATGCAACTACTATAGCGTGTTGTATGACTGTATAAAACTCTAATCTACTTCCACAGCTTAGCACAAACATCAACAATAATGGGAAAATAGATGCTTAGGTTGACATGTTGAAGTATGCATCATTTGCAGTTACATAGGACGTTGCTTTCAGTTGTTTGTGATAGTCTTATTTTTCTATAATTAGTATGAAACTAAGAATATTTGAATTTTGAAATCTTCATGTCTCATTTTTCTATGTGCAGGTACTGAAGATACAGAACGATCATGGGAAGACTCAGTCCTCAAAAGTGAAACGCCTGTGCTAGTAGAATTCTACACAAGTTGGTGCGGTCCATGTCGGATGGTGCACAGGATTATAGACGAAATAGCATTGGACTATGCCGGAA